ACTAATAGGATAACTTAACATGATGAGTAAGTATATTCCACATTTTTCTGCGGACCAGCGAAATTTTCTCCACGGACCACCACTTTGACAACCGCTGATCTAGAGGAAGTGCCAAACAGGCAATACAATCAGCATCGCAGAATAGTATAGTGATACAGATCCTGTATGCTGACGAAAAAGGGGGAGAGGTTTTAGAATCCCACAGTACCAAGACTCCACCCGTGGTCCTTATAAAAGGTTTCCTCTCTACAAAAAAAAATAATTTTAAGATCTAATGGATTATTTGACGAACGGAAAATTTCGTGCCTATCATCATTAATAGCTGATGATAAATAAATTAATTTTGAACTGAAATTAACCGTTATTAGAATTTCGTTCCGGTTTCGAATTTGGTTTTTAGTTTATTTTGAAATTTTTAAACCGTTCAATAGTGGATCCGGACTGCTAAAAACCGTACTATACTATATATGTAAATCTTAAAAAGAAACAGTTGCAATAAATATATAATGCTGTATTAAAAAAATCAGTTCAGATAAAACATTTATAGTAATATTTGAATGGAAGTACATAAGTACAGTGGTATCGTACGGAAGGGGGTTAGATAAGACCTGCCCATAGCATACGCGAGGAGAAAATCAAATAAAGGGGAGCAATCGTATTCCACAGCTGAATACGAAATGTTTGCCATTTGTTAAGCCGCAAAACAATTCCAGACCCAACGTTTTTGGCAAGTTTAAAATAGTAATGAACCACAAACCGGTGACCCAAATGTTTCGAGTTCAAGATCCATGCGGCCTATTAACGAGATTTAGAATGCAACTAAAACCAAACTAAATTAAACGTAAGTCGTTACATATCTGCGTAGTGAAAGGATTACTACCTGCCGCGCTCAAAAGCAAACAATAAGTGAAACAATGCTAAAGCCGGAGAGCCGTGGAATGAAAATGTCGTAGTAAAATTATAATTAAATTATGCTTCGTGGAGGAATAAAAGTTCTCCGTGAAAAGCGACTGTTACTTATTCATCATTTCTATTTTATTTTAAAGTGCCCAGCTTATATAGCCTGAAAGATTTTGAGAAAATAAAAATTCATATTTCATACGCACTAACACGTTTTCAAAAATTATTTTTCCTATACAATAGAACATTAATCCAGTAACCCAGAATATACATTTGGAAATATATATTCAGAACAAATAACTTCTTTTCTTCTTCTTCTTTTTGAATATTGAGAAGAGACTCATTCCGAGATTTAAAATATCCGTGGTGTCGACTGATTGCCAAAAACCAATAGATAATTTTGATGGATTCATCTTCATAATTTAACATAACACAAATATGTAATCAATGGATAATTATGGTTATGGGTATGAAAAACTGGCTCTTATTCAGAATTAAAAGAAGACTGAGTTCTTTTAATTCTGAATAAGACTGAGTTTATCATTTGTGCTCGTTGACTCGTTTTGAAAATTTATAAGTGGCGTTTGATGATGAAAGTCAATGTCAGTCAAATTGTATTTGCAGTTTACGGACGGTTTATGATTCTGGAAGTAGTAGCTGGTTTTATCGATATTCGGATATAGATAATCTCACAAATTACCGTCATTTGAATAAACAATCTCATGATTTTCTTGAACACGCAGTTGTGACAATGTCAAGTTTATATTTCAAGTCTAGGCTCGTACATCAGATAATTATTCACAGGTAAAAAGACATGTTCTACATTTTCGTTCATTTGTTGCTTTCATTTGAAATGGACCTCCTCGGCATCTTCATAGTTTTTTTTTCATAACAGCAGCAAATTAATTCTGCGTTTTTTTTGTTTACAATCATTGTTTGTCGTGTTACATATAGAGTGAGATAACTGCATGTAGACAACTCATTGATTTTGCTGCACATCAATGTAGATAGCGTCATATTCCTCTTCAGTGGGTACTATTAAGTTTTTCTAATTTATATTTGTATGCGTATTTTAATATGAAAGTGCATAAACCTACATAAAAGTAGCGATCGTACACTTCATAAATTCTGAAAATTACACGGAACATTTTGTTTATTTGGTTGGGTAGGTTTTATCACATAATCAATAAAATTAAAAAAATGACAAAAAACATTTATTATTCTATTCCAAGTTTTCACGGAACACCTATCAACTTTAGTCATTGTTTTCACTAAATTTGCACAAATCATCATTTGTTTTCTATCAAAAATCAAAATTATATAAATTCTTGAATTTGTTCAAATTCTATCATTTTTAATAATATTTTGCTTTTTATTTTCTATTATAGAAATTCCTTTCTTTCTTCTTCCTTTTATTATCTATTCTAGAAAGAAAATCTATAAGGGTTAGAAATTCCTAAATTTCTAGACCCAACAAATTTTTAGACAACTGAATCAGACAACTTCGTCAACTGAATCAACATCGGATGGTATGGACTATCAAGATTCATCCTTGACATACCAAGCAAATTAAATGATTCCTCTTTCCTGTACATATTCTAGAAAATTAAAATAATACCTGCTGGTGGTACAATGCGTGTCCCATCGCCCCACAAAAAGTTAAATAATTGTTGATTATTGCTATTAACCGAATTTGCACAATTTCTAAAATTTGGTAATTTTACTTTCATTGGCATGTAAACTATCAATTTTATTTTATTCTGATGCAAAAATATTTGAACCTAAATGTATTCTATTCTAAATACACATTCCATTTAAATAATTTGCGCAATTATAGTAAATATCAAGAATTATTTAAATAGTGTTTAGCTATATCTCAAATTTAACTTTAAACATTTCAAATTTGGATTAGAACAAAATGATGATTACATGTAAAAAAAAGTAAAATGCTATTGAAAATTTACCCAAACTCAAATATTTAAATATACTACATAAAATACAAAATATACTTTCGTTAACCGAGGAACAAATATGTTAAAAGAAATATAGAAAAAATAACAGTAAAAGTTTTTAGGTAAAATCAAATTTATTTTATCAACATAAACTCATAGAAAAAATAATATTTGTTATCTTCTCAGCAAAGGTTTCGATGTATATATTTTCCTGAAATAATTATGTAAACTGATAAAGTATTATTAACTTAACAAATAGTCGGTATTTTGCAGGAACAATTTTGTCTTCACTGTATTCATCTTCAGATAATACACTTTCATCCTCAGTTGATTCACTTTCTTCTTCAGATGATTCGATCTCATCTTCAAAATCTGTTTCGGTAAACTCCTCATCAGAGATATTATCATCTTCGATGTGGCCAGTCTTCTCGTCTTCTCGTCAATGCATTGGAGGGAATATTTTTTCAAAACGTCGATGACGATGATGAGTTAATGGAACAGGAGATGAGTGAGAATGAGTCCGTCTACGAAGAACACTACACATGTTGCTCATATGCCCAAGAGTACACCACTATTACATCAATATTTGATTAAAAGTAAAAATACGTTTATTTTATATTACCTCATCAAATAAAATATTATAAATATGGTACCAAATATAGTAACAGATGATACTAAAATTAGTATACACTTAGTGTAATACTATACTAATAAATAATTGTGTAAACAATCGGATCAAACTCCGAGACAAACAATTACAAATTGTCAAATACAAGAAATATTGATAAGCCGAATTTACTATAGTCCGGTTTGGAAATTTTAAAACAAACTATACTTTAATTGAGCAAAATTTAAAATGAATTCCAACAAAATATCACACAAAATTAATAATAATGTTTATTACAACAGTCACATATAACCAAATTAAAAAAACATGTTTATAATAGTAAGTAAAAAAACCGGTTACAAAGGACTTTATATCATCGGTCTTTTTTTATATCAATAATCGTCTCATGTCACTTGATAACAAAATATTTGGATGAACAATATTATATTTTATGATGTATTTCTGTATAAAATGTATATATACAACATTACAGTGAGAATGTACAGTATTGTAGAGAACTCCTGGAATATAATTACTTTGTATGTGGATTTAATATGCAGAGCTTTGGAAAAATATTACGAAAATATGGAGATGTGCATGTTGTTGAGAAAGGGCTGTTTTCAGGCGTCAGAGAGAGAAGGGAGCAGGAACAAAGCGAAAAAAAAATGAGGAAAAAAGAGCCTAGCGAATATGTAGGGTTGGTTGGTGTAGGCTGTATACAATGAAAGTGGTGTGAAAGACGCCTTCGGCCTCGCGCAGGTCCAGCGTCGGGACGCTGTTAGTGTGGCGGTGGCAGCGGCAAGGTTCGGACGCTCAGATGATGGCGGCCCACCCGACACCGTAACTTATATGCTAGAAAACCCTTAAACCCGCGAAATTTAAATCAAAATAGAAACGCATCTCCGACAGCGAAAGAGATTAGCATTAGCTGCAGCGAGAATTTTCATTCGAACATAGAACAATTAGTTACAATAAATGATCTTCAAATGTTTATAAACATTAAAAACATGTTTGTGTTTCTGTTCGCAATCGGAGTTATTTCAGGTAAGAATGTTTCAATGCAAAATACGACATTTTTTTGATAGCGCAAAGCGCCTCTATGTGTCTCTCCGTAATACCCGGGGATAAATGCAACGTGCGTTCGCATTTTATTTTCTCTCCTCTCAGGAAATGCACATATCAAACTGTATGCAAATGTCACGCAGAGAAAATAACATGACGGGGGTAAAAAGGAGAGAGATGAAAATAGAGTGCACGAGAGGAGCAGAGGAGGATGGAATATAACCAGCGTGCAACATTTTCTGCTCTGCAAAACACATGAAAAAATCATGAAGCTAATATCACTTGAAACGTCCGCTCAAAACTTTTCCTCGGTTTTTCCATATTCACTCTCGCAAATAACATAAATTCTGCCCGTTCCTGTATAAACTTTAATGAATTATATTACTCTGTATAATAAATATAAGCGAAGGCCAATGAATTGATATGGGTACTTCATATTTCAGCTTCAACAATTCCTTATTATAGACTTTGAAATAACAATTTTTAATTAATATATAATTGTGAATATTATATTGCAAGGTAATCCTAATGACAAATGTGATCGAACAACATGAAAATATGTAAATAAACCTAATGTCTTTTAATTGACATTAAATGATGAATATATTAAATTTATCAAGAAATGTAAAATATATATCAATTTAATCGTGTTTTAAATAAATTATTTATTAATTACTTGACAAATTATTACATTCAGAAATTGAGTATTTGTAATTGCATTATACAGTATAAGAATATAATAATAAAATTTAAATGATATTAAAATTCCTTGTCAATGTAATAAAATAATCACCATTATGTGTAAGCTTCAATAACCACCTAATAATTAATTAAAAAAATATATTTTTTGGTATGTTAGTAAAAAAAATTATAAAAATGCAAAAAATATAGATTTTTTATGTTTTTTAATGTGTTAATGCTAAAAATGAATTATTTTTATTGATAGGAAATCATTGTCCAAATAGTATATTTGTAAACTTTGTTATATTTAAGTATAAAGATAAATCTTAAATATTTTTTATTAATAAAAATATTAATTATTATATGTAAGATATAAATGATACTTAGACATGAAACTGTTTTTTTTATCAAACTGAATCAAATAGAATTCTTCAAAGTGTATCCATTTAATATTAAATAATTTATGGTCAAGAGCCCTTTGCATTAGTTGACTTTTTTGAAACATATATATATATATATTTATTTTCAGTTTATTGATAATCATAAAATAAAAAGAAATGTCCTGTTATATTACACATATTTATAATTATCATTTCATATTATAATTATAAAATTGTATGTCAATTTATTTTATCTGCTATAATTTCTTATAATATATTACATAAATGTGAAAAAGCAAAAGCATGAATTGGATATTAAATTCAGATTTTCAAAATTCTACACAAATAAAAAATTACGGGCGGAAAAACCTCGATCGACAGTCGTTTGATTATAATTTTGACCAAAAATTTTTAATAAATCAAAATTGGTAAAAGACTAGAATAATAGAAGGAGAGTATTACAAAAATTGGTCAAAATTATTTTTGTCATGAACTGTTTTGATTTATTTAATAATTTGAATTTTCATGCAGAGAATGTTATTATTGTATTGTATTTTATAATTAATTATTTTTAATAACAAACAAAGATTTCTAACTAATTCTGACATTTAATGACTTATTTTAATTTGATCCTGACTACTCAAAGTTTCTGAATAAGTAGCATCAAATCTAGAGAAAAACGTCTCTAATTTATTTGCACAAAGCTGAAAGACTTCGTGATCGTTGTCTATATTACTGGAAGAAACCCTTATAAATTCATTTACAATTTATCATTTGTGTATTAGGAACCGAAATTCACTTTAGGATCATTGAATTCCGTACCAAGTAATATATATGTTATTATACATTAAACCCACGTTCATACACAAGAACATCAAAAAAAAGACCGGAGAGATGAATAATTTCAAAGTGGAGTGCTTCGCACCCCTTTCTCCTTTTTTGTGTTTATTCCGCAGGGATTATTTTTACATCTGCAAATTCTCCTGGAATGCGAAATTTGTTTTCATATTCTCTGCCGACGTTCCGTCACGTACAAGTAAATATTTGTGACAACAGATATTTCAAATGAAAATCTAGATTAAATTCAAACATGTCTTGGCACCTGCATCACACATTGCCTTTTCCAAGTTTCTAAAATTACACAATTTACAATTTATGTAATTTTCAATACTTTTTTCTAGAAATGATTTATAATTTACACAATCTTATATAAATTTCAAATAAATTAATTACAATACAACTGTTAGATTTCTTTTATATTTATGAAACAAATTAGTTAATATGACACAATCACTTAAATGAGCAATATTATCTTATATATATATGCAGATTTATTTTAAATAATTTCAGTTTTAATATATTAAACAATAGTCTATTTTCAATATTGGAAATAAATGGTTGTACCTTTCTTATTTTAAATGTGAACATAATTTTAATAGATGAAAATAAAACAATTTTAATAAACTGATATTTTTGTCTCATTTTTATTTTATATATTATTAATAAAAAAATAAAGTAATTTGGTTAAATAAATAAACTTATTTAACAATATTTGAGAATATTTGAGAATAATGATTAATAATACAGAATAAACTTTATCATAATAAAACTTCAGTCCAAATTATTAGAAATGTACAATGTGAAATATTTAGCGTAATATATTTACAGTGTAAGTCTGTATGTAAGTTCCTGTACTCGAGCTTGGCGAAATTTATTTGTCTTTGCATTAGTTGGGCTATAGTGCATATGCAAGTTAGCGAACTTTCTAAGAATAGTAAATAAAGTTTCTGCGCAAACATTATACGAACTAATATTTGCTCTTATATCAATAATACTTTTCCCAAATAAATCGCCAAAACGTTACGAAATTTATTACTAATAATTATTCAATGCTTCAAAGTTAGCAAATTGCAGAAGTAAATTATTATATGAACGAGTCGCAACTTTAAACTTTATTTTTCTTCAATTAAATAAGTACGCTAATAGCAAAATCTACTATAGGCAAGCGAGTAAGGGAAAAAAAGTTTTTCAAGTTTAATCCAATGGAAACTGGGTCAGTCGTCCGGGACGAATTTAATGTGATCTTCACTCCTCCCCCGTTTGCTGTTTGAATCTCCCGGTTTTTTAACCATCACATAAGAGAGAGAGGAAGAAGGAGGAAAAAACTTTTATTATTATCTTACATAATTTTCGCCGACGAAACTTTAAATATCTTAGAACTTTTATCGCCGTTAAATAAGTTAGTGTCTCCAAGTTTTGCGGACTCGAGCCATTCCAAAATTTGTTGCTCCACTCTCCACTTACTGGGTCACTGCAACTGCCCACTTTATATAACAAACACTTTTATCGCTGATTTGCCAAAGAAAATCCATTGGCTGCTGTTAGTGTTTCGTGAAATTTACTGTCGCATTTCAAAAGTTGTCCGGTGTGTATACTATATCAGCGATAATGGTGCAAAAATAGTGTGTATTATGAATCGAGTTGGCTGGGCTACCCGAAAACGAATATATATAAGATACTTGTTGATTCCCTCTCATCCGCAGACACCGAGCAGAAGCATAAATCTTATTTATATTATACACATTGGATGATTCTAGTATTATGTCCTCTTTCATTTATTTTGGTCACTTTTTTATAGTACCATTTAAATATTACGTGTTTTCCATATTCGAATATATTTAATGTACCTGAAAAAAAATAAATATTATTGATATTTTTATGATTATTCAGATGTAATGTTCACATTATGATTTTTTTTTAAATTACATAATTATAACACATCATTATTACTTAATCCTTCTTGATGTTCACTATTGAAATATGAACATTAAACATCAATTGCCATTCCATTTCTAATTCATTAGTTAATCTTTCCTGCTATTTACTAATGCTTCATAACTATATGCAAGGTATACTACCATAGAGAGTAACATTAATTTAGAATTAAAATAGACATTTTCAAATTTAATTAAATATCTTCATAGGAATATTTAATATTTCAATATTATTATATTTTTCATATTCGTTAAAAACAATTAGTAGATTCAAATATCTCGTACTGTTTGAAACCAGATTAATCGAGGACTTTTAAATAGCACAAAATGAAAATTCACTGTATAGGGTGAGAAACAACCATTTGTATATAAAAAATAACTTTGTGGACTTACACTAATTAGAACAGCACTGCACTTTTATTTGGTTAATAAATTTCACATAAATATAACGTGATTTGCAAGAAAATTGTGAAATAGTTCTATTTTTCAGTAGTTAAACGTTAAAAAAATGTAGTTGTATTTTTTATAAGAAGAAACACTTTGAGTGCAATTTACGTCTGTGCTCCATATTAAGTTGCCTCATATTAAATGTCCAACTCGGTCAAACTTTCTCACTTCAACTATCTGAAGACGAAGGCATGAATTCTGAATAGTCTAAATTCGTGGAATATAAACTTTATCTCTGCGATAAAGATAGATAGATATTGTCGTCCTTATTAAATATGACGATTTCGATCTACTTGTAAGCATTTATTAAGTTTCATATAAACATGATTGAGGAAAAGACTTCATTCATTCAGTAGTTGTCTCTTTAGCGTACTTCCTAAGACTAATTACAAATACTTATTCTACGTATAAAATTAACTAAGCAGTTGAAAATAGGAAGGAATGTTACAATCGGTCTCATGGTGAAGGTTACCTTTATGAATAATAACGGTTGGACACAACAAAATAATGATGAAAGCAGTTAACGTACATTGCGTATTAATTTGCATAAGCATTTTTGGTACATATGTATTTCTTCGTTCACGCTAACGTACTCAACATTCACATGAACGTACACTTTACTGTCGGACCCCGCTATTATAAGCTTATATCGGTGTACATATTTCAATTTTATTTCAGTTAGTTTAAGGTTTTTACCAAA